TTAGCGGTAGATGCTCGATTATGTCGTTGCACCCTGCCAGCCATCTCTTGACGCCACCCCAGTCCACTTCTAAAATTAAAGCCTAACACAGGAGAAGTATATACAGCTTTTGAAACACTAAATTATAATAAAAAAAAATTTAGTAAATTAACACACCCTCGCCCATTTCCGCTGATAACTTCACCACTACCGCCCCACTTAACGGCTTTGAATACGACTCAAATTTTCGTATCTACGACCCCCATCCAAGAATCACGACTCTCCCCTCGCTGGGAAAATCCCAGCCCAACGGTTTACCCTATCTTGAGGGACGTTGATATTTCCTCGCTTTATAACCTTCATCTCACATGCAGACGATCTTACCTCTTTCCTCCCCGAAGCAATCTATTAGAAAACTACCATTCATTAATCGATAGGCTAAGATTTCTTCCAAGTGTTTCACATGGACGTCAACCAGTCCAGACATTTTCGTGTCATTATAATGGAACTATTCATGGAACCTCATTGTTGAGTTTATGTTAAGAAGAGCTGTTCCTTTCAGTGAGCCAGAACATTTGCACCATCAGCCGAGGTATCACAATGAGCAAGAACGGAAACGACAGTACCGGATAGCGCTCAACTTCTTCAACAAGTATGTTCGTGGTTAATCTTTCCTTGAATCCAATTATTTTTATAGTTTTACAGAAAACCCGAACGAGGTGTACAATTGTTGACTGCTTGGCGGTTTGTCGACGACTCAGCGGAGTCGTTGGCGAATCTACTGTTTGGCAGGCGCGGTCTCAGCAAGCAAATGATCGGCGAATACATTGCGACATTGCACTCGACATTCCATTCATGCGTATTGAAGTTAGTCATAAACGATTTTTCACTTTGCAGTCAGACACGAACTACTGTTTTTTATGGTTGATCATATTTGGAACATCAACACGTTGTTGATGTACACACTCTGTCATCATGTAGCCACCGGTTTTCAATAGTTTGGTGTAAACGTTCCTGTTTAGATATTTTATTGGGCAAATAGACGTACGCGGAATGGAAGTTGACGTGGCGCTTAGGAAAGCAATGCAATACTTCTTTCTGCCGAAAGAAGCTGAAAAGATCGATAAAATCATCCAAGTATGTTCCTTAATGTGGTTGAACTCCATAAAAGAGTAATAAGATGTTTCTGGAATTCACTCGTGTGCCGTTCAGGAATTCGCTCAGCACTATGCCAAGTGCAATCCGAAGCGAACGAAGCAGTTCAGAGGAGGATGGGATACGATTCATATGATAGCCTTTGCGGTCATTATGTTGAATACCGACTTACACTCGCCCAATCTCAAGGTAGTTTCTAGTTCACCATGCTGTAGTCAAAGTTACTGAACGAGTTCCGCTTTTCGAATTTATTTATTTATTTATAATGCACTCAAGGTGCGCCATCAATAAACACAATAATCTTAGTAGAACATGATCGAACGGAAGAGGTGGGCTAGAGACAATCTTTGCTTTCTGACCTACAACAACAATGGAGCGAAAATGCCATTAAACTAGGCTGCCAGAAGCTATACTTGACTAATAGCAAGGGAGAGACATCTAGACGTCTGTAGTTTAGTATCCTCAACAGCAAGCTTTTACCTTTTTATATTTTTTTATTTTTATACTTTATTTCTTTGCTGTTCAGAAGTAATCAGATCATTACCAATTATATTTCTTTTTACGAGTAAATGAATTTCAAATTAAAGGCATCCCAACGCATGCAAATGGACCAGTTTGTGCACAACCTTCGTGGTCAGGACAAAATGCGTGGCGAGAAAGAGGGCATTGATATTGATCGGTGGGTTTACCAATGATGCATTGCACTACATCACGGAATGGTTTTGCTTTAGATCCTGTTTGCAAGGAATTTATGAACGTATACGTGCCGAGGAAATCCGACCAGGAGATGATCACGTTGCACAAGTGGCACGTGTTGATGCTGCAATCATCGCCCGTGAAAAACCCGTGGGTGTTCTTAGACTCGTTTAGCCTTTTTTTCTTGTTTTCTACTCGTCAATGATTAATGGTCCTCCTCACTTATATATTGTTTGTTCTTTCTTAGATCGCGTTCATAGTTCCCGACTCGGGAGAATAGGGTTGTAGGCGATAGGTTAAACGAGAAGTATTAGATCAGGCGTCTTCAAAGGCAGCGATTACGATAAAGAGGAAGCGCATCGGGGAAGCATATGCACCACACGAATCAGTTACTTGGCTGCCAGGGAAGCGAGGTGTAGCGCTTTCACGACGAAAGGTGCGCTGGTTGCTGAGCAGGACTTCGAAAGCACTCCGCCCCCAAAAGCGATCCGCCCACTAGTTTAGTTGGTGATTTGGACGAGCTGCGTTGCCAGCAGCGGCACAACTGGAGCAACTCGATTGGAGCGTGGTTTGGCATGGTGCCACCAAACGCGTTGCGATGAACTCGTTCATACGTCCGCTTTCTGAGCTGTTACCTGTTCATGAGTGAAAACCAACGGCCAAAAAAGGGGGTCCCGTTTTGC